TTTTTTGGTGTTGAATGAAAGGGAGGGGATTTCATTTTATAACTTTGTTAATACATGCCCATTTACTTAAAAACTGGGTACTTTACGACTGCCAGTGTAAACAAATTACAGTATATAGATTCTCACTGCATCACCATCTGTACCTGTCTGTACCTGTCAGATTTATTGTACAGTAGTATTTATAAACTGTATTGGGATTATGGGTAGTGCCCCATCTTGAAACTTTGACTGCTGTGCTTTTCCCCTGCTACTGGCGAGGAATGTTGGGAGGCATCGGTAGAGACAATGTTGTCAATATTCTTTTTTCTTTCCATATCACTTTTTTTCCAAAGTGTTTTTATGTAGACCCCCCCCCCCTACATACCTGGAAGGAAAAGAAACAATGTTTGTTGTGATTATCACATATATAGCATTCTTACATGCAAAATCTTGTCTTTTTTCAAATATAGGATGGCCTTAATTACTGTCAAGTCCTATTTTCTATTTCTTATATGTATTTCTAATTAGTTAAATAGTTTCCTGAATGAAAACAGTGTAGAAGTTGGTGATTTATAAGTACTGATTGGAAAGGTCTCCAGGATAAATGAGTAGGTGATTAGTAAGTTAATACTTAAAGGAGAAGCCCATTTATATACATTTTAAATATATACATATATGTGTTATCATATAAAAAATCTAAAAAGATATATGAATTGTTACCTGTAGTGATTTAAGGGAAGGGGAATGAAGGAGGATATTCTGTTTTGCTCTTTGTAGTGTTTCTTTTCCTTCCTTCTTTCTTTTTTTATTATCAGCACATATTTGTGTATTTTTTAAATTAAAAATACAGCACTGGAGGAATATGCCATTTATCTAATAGATGGGTTCTTGAAAGGGAAAAGCTGCAGGCAAATTGATTTTGTATAGTAAACAGACATTTTAAATCTATTGCATCAAGGGTGATCAGTCACTGAGAGTACAAAGGAAAAAAAAAAATCCAAAAAGGAAAGAATGGAGAAAAAATACTCACAGATTTTTCTCCTTGAATTCATATCACAAATGATTCTAATACAGTAAACAAACAGTAGCTTTTGGTTTCTCCACATTATCACTCATTACTATAATAGTCCCCACCCCACAGGATCTTTGAGGTTCATCTTATTTTGGTCCTAGAAAAGCACCAATCATTTAATTTTCTTTTGGCATTAGCAGTGAAGATCCATCTTATTTCTCAGACCTAGGCAAACATTTATACCTTCAGTCATCTTTTCCTTGTTTCTATTTTGATGGGCTTTACTATCTGTCTCCTGAATATTTCATGTCTTTTTTTTTCTCCTCCCGCCCAGGGTTTGGGTTTCTTCCTTTC